AAAAGGCGATTTTGCTTTTTCTCGTGTATGTATGCAAAAAATGGTTTTCGCGCAGTCTGCCTTTGTAGAACAGCAGAAGCACCAAGGCTGCCAGCGTACTGCTTAAGTCGTCTGGCACGAGGAGAGTCGCTTTCGCCTGCAGAAGACAGCACGTCCTCATCGTCGAGAAGGTCGTACCGCCGGCTCGTCGAAGGCGACATTGGTTCTGTCAGCAAGCAAAGCCCAGAAGAGCGCGAAGCGACAAGTGTCTCGGCTTCAAGGCAAGCCTGCAAAAGTTCCTCCTCCTCCGACTCCTCCCGAAGGTTGTTGCGCAGCGGAGTCCCAAGTGACAGCGTTTCTCTCGAAGCAGCAAGCCCATCCGAATCTTCCAGAAGCTTGTCTAGGAGCGGTGTCGCAGGCGGACGGTCCAGAGTTCTCCTCCTCCTCCCCACTGTCCGACGCATAGGAAGAGTCTTCCAGGGACATCTCCTGCTAGGAAGCACCAAGAAAAAAACGCGAAACATAAACTTACTGGAAACAAGGGAAAGCCGCAGCAAGCGCCGCTCCTCGTCCGTGCAGAGCTGATTGAAATCCAAATCATCATAGAAGATGTCGCAAGGAACGGCGCATCTTTCCTGGAAGCTGCAAACCGGAACAGAGAATTTAAGCAAACAAGACAAGAAGCGCGTAAAAAAGCCAGTTGTCAGCAACGGCTTCCCCCACCATGGCTTCCCCAGTCGGAAGGCAGCATGCAACAACGGAACAAATGAGTAAATGTTTGAAATTGTTGTCTTTGGTTCTACTGTTGTCAACATCAGCTCAAGGCCAGCTTCCACGACATGCTGTCTTCAGAGCCCCCTGGAGGCCGAAGCAGAGCAGGATCCGCACTGCAGCTTGGAAGAGGGACAGGGTGTCGGGTTTACGGGGATTAGGAAAGCACGAGCCGCCTCGGCGAGAAAGGCGTCTGGAAGAAAACCATTGAAGCAACCCAGCCATTCGCAGTTTCGCCGTGTGGCGGAGTCATGCTTGGATCTCTGAGACAAGCGTATGACTGAAGACATGTAATGCCTGATCTTTGAGTCAAGCATATGTCTACTGGACATGCGGCGCGAACTCACATACACTCATGTGTGAGACTCATGTGAGACAAGAATCTACAACTAGTTACTTATGGCTGCCCCGAAGCCATCTCCGTTGTTGTCTTTCTTTTTACGAGGTCTTTTCAGTTTCTTTTAGCCCAGTGGCTTTCACTCCCTACAAAAGCCTACGAGCACAGCACTCATGTACACATGGATGTGTTTGCAATGTGTACGGTGTGCATGTGCCGAAAAGCAAGCAACAAAACTTCAGGAGTTCAAAAGGAGTGTTGGTTCGCAAAATACGAACTGTTAAACACAAGAGCTCAACAGCCTAGCCGAGGCATCATGAGCAAAAGCATCATGGGCATCTGAGGTTTCGTAGAACAAGGTAAGAGCGGAACACGAACGTTATCATGCTTTGGGCATGGATGCTCTGGCAACCGTATGCTCTCGGAACACGAACGTTATCATGGTTTGGGCATGGGCGCAGTGGCAACCGCAAGCTCTTGGAACACGAACGTTATCATGGTTTGGGCATGGATGCTCTGGCAAGTTTGGGCATGGATGCTCTGGCAACCGTATGC